GCCTGAACCCAGGAGGCGGAGGCTGCGGTGAGCCGAGATTGCGCCATTGCACTCCAGCCTGGGTAACAAGAGCGAAACTCCGTCTCAAAAAAAAAAAGTAAAAAATAAAAATAAGGATAGAGGGGCAAATATACCCATCCACTCATTGCCCTAGAAGATTTGAAAGCAGTGGTGTAACCTCTGGTAACTCAAAGATGGTATGAGTGTCTTGTGGTAAAGTGTACACATCTTACAGCAAAACAATATCCTAGCAGATCATGTTGAATCGAGGTCTAGACTGCCCTATGCCTAGCAATTACTGTGTGTCTGGGGAAGGTGGTGGTTCTCACTCAAGCCTCAGCTCCCAGGAACAGAAATCAGACTTTGACTGTGAGAACAATCTGGCTGGTTCCTCCTCCCCGATACAAGAGACTATTGCACTGATTGTTGGAATACTGTCCTCGCTGCTGAAAGTTCAAGGGCAAGCCATCTCCTGCAAGTAGGAAAAGTAACTCCTTCTGCTCTCTCTCCCTACTCCCTGTAAAATAACACTGCCGGCCATTCTGGAAGGGCTAGACCTGGAGCAGAGATGAGGCTCAGAGGAGGAAGAGAGTGGTTTGTCTGTGTCTGGGTCTCAGACTCTTGCAGCCTGGTCTCCAAGCAGCTGAGGGCCCCATGGCTCACCTCTGCACCTGGGCCAAGGTCAGGTGACTTGCGCTTGAGGACTGAGAATGCAGCCCAGGATCTAACATCCAATTTTACGTTTTCGGGGCTGTGTTCTCTTTGGGTCCTGCCTTTCAGCTTTCAGACTTTGAGGGCTGGTATTAGCCATGCCCTGGAAAGGGACCAAGCCCCAGCTCCAGGTTAGACTTCAGTGGGATTTTAGTCCAGTGGGACTAAAATTGGAGGGTGCCCTACCCAGGCCCACAATGGTCAAAGCAAGTGAGTTAAAGAACCTAAAGGCACTCTGGAAAAAGTGCATCCCAATAAGAAAACACACACACAGCAGGTGTGGGAATGCCGGCGGCTGGAGAGTGAGGGTAGCCTTCTGGTTGGGCTCTCGCTCGCACCTGCTGGGGCACAGGCCTGTCTGACTCGTTGTTTCTCGGGCACCTCATCACTGGGGGAGCCGACATCAGGCTCTGCCTCAGGTTGGTACTGGCCCCAGACTTGGTGCGGAGACTGAAGAGCTTCTTGCGGGTCTTGTATGCCCACTTCTCCCGTTCCACACAGGGTCCGCTGGGCCTCTGGCTCTCAGCCAGGCAGTAGTTCACATCTTGTGCCTGTGCCAAGGAGAAAGCAGCCCCTAAGGCATTGCAATGTCCTAGAGGTAAACTCTGGGCTGCCCCAGATCAATGCCAAAACCACGGGGCCCTCCAGACACCCAGGGCTTGCTTCCCAGAAACCTAGCCCCCTTGAAGACCTCAGCCCAGAGCTTCTAACCCCATTCCTGACCAGCTGCAGTGCCCGGAGTCCCCACTGGCAGGACACTGCTCCCATGAGGAACTCAGTCTCCTCATCTGTAAAATGGACAGTGGTTTCCAAATATTTTTTGGGTTACCTTTAATCTCAAGGGAGGCTCCAAAGCATAAAATAGATGAAAAGCTGAGTCATTCTGGGGGAAGCCCCACCCGCCAGAGCCCCCCTGCAGGAGCTTCCAAGCATTTCTCCCCAATACATTTGGAAAAAACACTGGATGAAGTGACCCCTAAGATCCCTTCCTGCTTTGATCTGCTGGGATATGGAAATTTGGAGACTGAATGGGTTGCCTTAGTCCCTACTGGTGAGCCCAGAGGGGTAATGTGTAGTGGCAATGGGAAGGAGTGAGTAACCTATAGATGGCAGGACCAGCACTGCCAGCCTTTGGAGTCAGATTGCCTGGGTTTGGATCTACTTCTTGGCTGTGTGACCTTAGGCAAGGTGCTTAACCTCTCTGTGCCTCCATTTTCTCATCTCATCTGTCCAATGAGGAAAATCACAGAAACTACCACCTACCTAACCAAGTTCCCCACCCTCTCCAAAACAAGTCACCATCATCCCTCCTGCTTCCCAGGGTGCTCCCCACCCTCCCTGCCCCACAGGATTCTGACTCTCAGCTGAGAGAAGGGTGGGAGGAGAGTGTGCTCCTGTTAACATACCCTCTTGGGCTGCAAGGGCAAGGGGCTTAGAGAGGCATTGAAGCTGAAGATGGGCTTGAGTGTGCTGGTGTTCCAGAAGAGGATGTCCCCACTGTAGGAGGAGGTCCCGAGGAACTGGTTCTGGTACTTGGCCATGCTCAGGATGTCCTGCACGTGGTAGGTCTGCCAGTGGTGGCACAGGAGCACCGGCTTGGTCTTGTGGAACCTGTGCACATGCCAGAGGCAGGAGGGCTAAGAGCTCAGCCTTTATTGCTCCATCCACTGGGGAAGCACTGGAGCCGGGAGGATTCGGGGAGCTGACTCAGAGGAGGATACTCTCAGACAAAGGCCTTGTCGTAAGGGCTTTACATAAACTAATCTTATGGATAACAAATCTGTAATACACCCCCAGTCAGACACCTAGGTAAGGATTAAGGTTTAAAGGAGGGGAAATTGTGGCCTTACTGAGGTCCCCTAAAAAGGAAGAGACCTTGAACATAGTGTTCTTGTGCCTGGAAAGCCCATTCTACTCTAAAGAGCTCACTGAGACCCTTCCTTCTCACGCTTCAGACTGCACACCACCCACAACGCCCTCACTGAGCCTTTCCTGACCACCGCCCCCAAAAGGAAATCAGGTTTCTGCCCACTCAACCCCCATAAAAACTTCTACTTTTTTTCATGGCACTTAATACACTTTATAATTATAACTGAAAGTATTAGCATTTGATTAGTATCTGCCTTCTTGATGCAGACAGAACATTCATATTCTCCAAAAATTCATGTTAAAACCGAATCCTCAATGTGAGGGTATCTGAGATGCGGCCTTTGGGTGGTTATTAGGACAGACGGGCAGAGCCCTCATAAATGGAATCAGTGCCTTTATAAAAGAGGTCCTAGGCTAGCCATGGAGGCTCATGCCTATAATGCCAACACTTTGAGGGGCCAAGGAAGGAGAATCATTTGAGGCCAGGAGTTCAAGACCAGCCTGGGCAACAGAGCACAACCACATCTCTACAAAAAAAAATCTTTTTTTTAATTAGCCAGGCATAGTGACACACACTTGTAGTCCTAGCTATTCAGGAAGTTGAGGCAGGAGGATCACTTGAGCCCAGGAGTTCAAGGCTGCAGTGAGCTGTAATTAAGCCACTGCACTCCAGCCTGGGCAATAGAGCAAGATCCTGTCTCTTAAAAAATACAAAAATTACAGGCCCAGAGATATCCCTTCTCCTCTCTACTATGTAAGATCATCACCTAACTTCACAGGCTCCATTCTCCGTGCTCCTTGACCACTCCCATGTGGCTTCTGTGGACGCTGGTACGGCACAGACTGCACTCAGCAGAGCTGAGAGGACATGGCTGCCCCCACCACGTAGATTTCAAAGGACAGGGCCTCCCAGCAGAGCCACACCCTTGGAATTCCAGCCCCACAGGGCCAGGGGGCTCATGCAGAGAAGTACAGCAGGGGCAGGGCCCAGGCATAGAGCCACTATGGGGACAAGGCTACCAAATCTACAGGTGCACGGCTGCCCAGAGTCTTAGGGTTCCAATCATCTGCCTGGCAAAGCTGCAGGGGCAAAACTGCCACCCCAGTGGGCCTGAAGGGCAGGGCATCCAGCCAAAGAGGATTATCCTTGAGATTTAAGGTCTATTAGCATTGCCCTGATGGATTTTTGACTTGCTCAGGACCTGTCCCTTCTTCTTTCCTGCCTCTCCCTTTTATCTATCCTATGCCTGTCCCACCGTTCTATTTCAGAAGTACATAACATGTTAGTATTACAAGTTCACAGCTAGAGGGGAATTTGCTTCAGAATGAATTGTGCCTTGAGACTCGCCCATATTTGATTTAGGTGATATTCAGATGATATTTTGGACTTAGACATTAAAGTTGATACTGGAACAAGTTAAGACTTTGGGGGCTACTGGGATTAAATGAATATATTTTGCATGAGAGAAGGACATGAATTTTGAGAAGTCAGTGATGGAATACCATAGACTGAATTTTGCTCCCAAAATTCATATATTGAAACCTAATCCCAAAGGCGAGGATATTTGGACGTGGGGCCTTGGGAGGCAATGTGGTCATGAAAATGGAGCACTTGGCCGGGCGCAGTGGCTCACACCTGTAATCCCAGCACTTAGGGAGGCCGAGGCAGGTGAATCACAAGGTCAAGAGATTGAGACCATCCCAGCCAACATGAGGAAACCCCATCTCTAATAAAACTACAAAAATTAGCTGGGCATGGCAGTGCACCCCTGTAGTCCCAGCTACTCAGGAGGCTGAGGCAGGAGAATTGCTTGAACCCACGAGGCAGAGGCTCCAATGAGCCCAGATTGCGCCACTGCACTCCAGCCTGGTGACGAAGTGAGACTTCGTATCAAAAAAAAAAAAAAAAAGAAAGAAAGAAAAGGGAGTCCTCATGAATGGGATTAGTGTCCTTATAAAGGAGGCCCCAGAGAGATCTCTTACCCCTTCCACCATGTAAGGTTACAGTAAGAAGACAGCTGTCTATGAATCAGGAAGTGGGCCCTCCCCAGGCACCAAATCTGCCAGCACCTTGATCTTGAACTTCCCCATCTCTAGAACTCTGATAAATAAATTTCTGTTGTTTATGAGCAACTCAGTCTATGATATTCTGTTATAGCAGCCCAAATGGACTAAGACATTCCCCCACTGAACTAGACGCTCCAGGCGGATAAAGACTCCAATGCTCTTGTTTGTACCCATCCCAGTCACCTAGCAAAAGGCCAACAGTATATTAGCCTCATGAACGATGAAAGGATGGACGGATGGATTAATATGTAGGTGAAGCAATAGTCATTAACCACCGCTAACCTCCTGCTTGGTGTTCCAACCACCAGGAAAGCTAGGAATGGAGGAACCCATCTGGAGAGAGAACACGCAGCTACTGTGACCCACTCACCATGCACACTTTCTACTCACAGGAAATGAGTGATTCTCTTACTCCATCCTGTCACATAGAACACTTTGTTCATATGGATAATCCCACTAATCTGTTGAAGATGAAAGAAAACAGAACTAGAAAACTTCTCAGCGACAATGGCTCTGGGCCCTAAATGTCTTCCTAAAGGTGCCAAGCAAGAAGTCAGACCTGTCAATGATGATGAGAATTGCCTGCGGTCGATACCACCGTCTTTTTTATCATGCTCTCACATCCTACCCTCTCACTGGATGGACTTGGGGGAGGCAGATAGGGTGGTATCCATATCCATTTTACACAGAGGGTAGCTGAGAAACGGGCAAGTGGCATGGCTAAGGTCAAATCACTAGGAGGGACAGGATCTGGAGCAGTACTCAAGCCCCTGGCTTCCTGGCTAAGTACACTTTCTTTTTTTGTTGTTTTTTTTTTTTTTTTTTTTTTTTTTTTTTTGAGACAGAGTTTTGCTCCTGCTGCCCAGGCTGGGGTGCAACAGCATGATCTCGGCTCACTGCAGCCTCCACCTCCCAGATTCTCCTGCCTCAGCCTCCTGGGTAGCTGGGATGACAGGTGCCCTCCACCACACCTGACTAAATTTTTTTTGCAGTTTTAATAGAGATAGGGATTTCGCCATATTGGCCAAGCTGGTCTCAAACTCCTGGCCTCAGGTGATCCACCCGCCTCAGCCTCCCAAAGTGCTGGGATTACCACCCAGCTGGCTAAGTACACTTTCTGAGTTGGTTAAAGGACTGCGTCACAGAAATTAGGGTGGAGATGCTGGCTTTGCCCTATGCTACTCTCATGGACTGGCCCTATGATACCATCAGGCATTTCCCAAATAGGGGTGGCCATGGGCGGCTGTGAATTAACTGACCCCACTGCTAGAAATGCAATCCAAAGCTCCAGTATGTGGAATGAGAAGTGCTAGCAAATTTAAAGCACAACAGTAGCCAACCTTAGTGGAAACCTGTAAGGCCAGGCACTGTTACCTGTCTTCATTTCATGCATGAGGACAGAGGCTCAGGGAGGTTTGAAGCCAGGCCACCTGACTATGATCAACACCCTTTCAGGGAGATACAAAACGTAATGTGTCCCAGGGTCACAGGAGCTGGGCTCTGCTTCCCAAGAGGCCCTCCCTGGCTCTAGTTGACAAGCCAGACTGACCTCCAGCTGGTCCGAATCGGGAAAGGTCTGCAGGCATTTGCCGATGTTGTAGTTCCACATTTTTATCGTGCCATCCCGCAAGCCTGTGATCAGGCAGCGCTCGGACTCATCCAGGGCCATGGCGGTGAGCTCCATGTGCTGGCCCCCAGATACAGAGAACTCCATCGTCTTCCTGCCGGTCATGACCTCCCACACACTCACTATGCCATGCAGGCAGCCACTCACCACCTGTGGGGAGCACACAGCTGGGGACTGCTGGAGAGGCTGGGGCCTCCACTCTCAAAGGTGGCCTCCAGCCTGCCATGGCCCCTTCCTTCCATGCACTGAGAAACAGAAGTTCAGGTCCCCCTGCTACAGCATAAGCCACTCTTGAAAACAGGACCTCCTCTGCCCCGTATCACAGGGCAGTTCAAACTGGAACATTTGGTGAAGAACTATTAACTCAGAAATGGCACTTATCAAGATCTAGCCAAAGAAAATAATCCCTATCTGGAAAAAACATTACTGAAGCAACATTGATCATGACCACCCCCTCAAAAAAAATAAGAAATAAACTAACTGCCCCCTAAGTAGGGAAATGTTGAGAGTAAGGATGGCTATGCCACTTGATGAAATATTTTGCCGGCATGACCACTGTTATAATGCAAGAGTAGCAGGTGAGGCCGGGCACGGTGGCTCACGCCTGTAATCCATCCCAGCACTTTGGGAGGCTGAGGCAGGCAGATCATTTGAGGTCAGGAGTTCGAGACCAGCCTGGCCAACATACTGAAACCCTGACTCTACTAAAAATACAAAAATTAGCTGGGCATGGTGGTGCATGCCTATAATCCCAGCTACTCGGGAGGCTGAGGCAGGAGAATCACTTGAATCCAGGAGGCGGAGGTTGTAGTGAGCCGAGATCGCACCACTGTACTCCAGCCTGGACAACAGAGCAAGACCCTGTCTTAAAAAAAAAAAAAGTAGCGATGAGGTTGTTTCAGACCAACCCCCACTACTGAGAACATGTAGAAAAGCTGAGAATATTTTTTTATTTTAAAAAAACTTTTTAAGGCACTGAAGAACACTAAGGCAGTGAGAGATGCTGGTGGCGGGAGCCAGGATGGGAGAGAAGCCCAGAGTAGTGAGCTCCAGCCTCGCGCAGCCCGAGGCCACCTCTGCAGCCAACGCAGTGCCCTGTCTAGAGCCCGCGCCAGACAAGAGGTCCCAGTGGGTGGGAGAGAGCAGAGGGCCTTGGGCAGCAGCCCCTCCTGTCCTCACTCCTCAGAAGCAACTCCTCGTGCCCAGCTGCCCTGCCCAACCCAGAAACTCCACGCAGGACCAAGACGCGGCCTGCTGCCTGGGCCTCCCTCCCTTCCTGCAATGAACAAAGCCAAGTTATGGCTTACCTGGAAAGCGATGCCCAAGAACAGCACCTGCTCTGGGAACCCAGGAGAGCACCCCATAACTAGCCCTCTGTCCCATACTCCACATAAAGAAGGCCCACTCCATAGCTGAGCCGAGGCGCTCAGCCGAGGGCATGAGGCTCAGAGGAGTTAGGCGATCCCGTGGCTGACGGACGGAGCTCAGAGCTGATGCCACACCAGCCCATCCGCAGAGCTGCTTTCTGTTTCTCTCCCAATGCCCCAGCACCACCATCAAGGCTGTAAGAGTTCCCACTGTGCCATGGGAGGCGACTACAGACCCAGGCACACAGGGAGCTCTGGTCCTGCCTCCTCCGAGGCCAGTGCTGGCCACTCACCTGCTTGAAGATCTTGCTGTAGAGGACGGCGCACAAGGGTGAGGAGTGAGTGGTCATCCTCCCTGCTTTAGAAGGCCCCTGGGCCTTTAAGTACCCTTTTAGGATCCCGATCTGGAGGTGAGGAAAGGGACAGAGAGCTGGTCTGTCAGAAGGGCTCTGCCCACCGTGGCAGGCCGCCAGGAGAAACTTCCAATAAACCACGACATTAAGACATCCTGAGCACATGCAGGCCTAATTCCAACAAGACCCCAGGCCTCCAGCAGGCCTGCAGATAGCTTGACCCTACTCCATGGCCCTGCCCCCCAGGACTGAGCCTCCCAAACCCTAGTGTTCCTAGAACCCCAAATTCCAAGGCCAGAGTCCCTTTCACTTTATGACTTCTGAGAAGCTAAAGGCTCAATCAGGTGTTCCCTCCGGGAAGTCCCCCCTGCCTACCCCTTGTCCCAGGCGAGGCTAAGGATTTCTCTATGCTCTGAAAAGCACCAAGCATACAACTCCACCATAACACATAACACTTTCTACTGAAATTATGTTTTTCTTCTACCCTGTAGGTTCCTAGAGAAATGGGACAGTGTCTTTGTCATATGTTCTCAGTTCCCGACAAAAGGCAGGGGGTTGTAAGGTTTGGTGATCTCAAATGGACTTCAAAGGCCTATTTAATTCAACAAGTGCTGACCTCAACAAATGTCTGGCACTCAGCAAGGAGATAAAGAAACCCACAACCTTCCTTCTCAAGAAACCCACCTTATAACTTCTGAGAAGCTAAAGTCACCTTATAACTTCTGAGAAGCTAAACGCTGGGCACAGTGGCTCATGCCTGTAATCTCAGCACTTTGGGAGGCCGAGGTGGGTGGATCATGAGGTCAGAAGTTCAAGATCATCCTGGCCAAGATGGCAAAACCCCATCTCTACTAAAAATACAAAAATTAGATGGGCATCGTGGCAGGCACCTGTAATCTCAGCTACTCAGGAGGCTGAGGCAGGAGAATCACTTGAACCCAGGA